TATTTAAAAATAACTTTGATTTACGTCAATAACAAAAAAAAAATGTTAATAATAATAATAATAATAATGAGTTTTTTGGCTTGAATTTTTTATTTTTTTAAAATTACTAATTAGTTTTACTCGGTTAAATTTTTTTTATTTATTTAATAAATCACGACTCGCGTGTAATAATAAATAAACTTTTTTTTAAAAAAAAATTTGGTACAGTGTTGCCAAAGTTCTCAAAAAAAAACGTTTAAAATAAGTGTGGTGGTGCGCGATATAGAATTTTTCGCGGTAAAAGCGGAAAAAAAATGAGATTTTACCTGGAAAAAAAAGAAAGAAAATGAAACGTGCTGGAAAAAATATTTTTGGTGATAATTTTTTAAGTTATTTATCCTTTTTCTTTTCCCCCATTTTCCTCTCCCCCAAATCCCCACACACGCACATTCCCTCCCTCCCTCCCCACCCATTCGAAAAAAAAAAAATATTAACTTTTTTTTTAATTTCCTAATAAGAAAAATATAAAAAATATCGTTCCAGGCGCTTTCTTTAATTCAATTTTTTTTTTTTAGTTTTTTTTGTTTTTCCGGTTTCTCCAGTTTTAAACTTTGGAGAAAATCAAATTTAAAAAAAAAAAAAAAAAACAATTTCTTTCATTCGTGTTTTAAAAAACTCAAACTTCCCCTTTTACTTCTTTCCATTCTCCTCCTCCTTTCCAAAAAAAAAAAAAAAAAAATATTTGGAAATCGATTTATTTATTTTTTTCCTTCTCCAAAATAAATCCAGGGAGAGAAAAAAAACCATAATAATAATAATAATAATAATAAATAATATTTGTTTTGTCGTCGAGCCAGTTTATATATATATATATATATATATATATATACATTAACTGTATATACAAAAAAAAAAAATTTATTGGACAGAAAATGAAGTTAGCTGGAGAAGAAAAAAGAAAAAAAAAACTGGAGAAAAAAAAGGTTTTTTTTTCTTTTTTTTTACTTCTCCAGCTAACTCAAACGTATAAACGAACCCGAAAAATTCCAGTAATTTTCCATGGCAACCTTTCGACAAAGACAAACTCTCCTCTCTCTCTCTCTCTCTATAATACGTAATCAATTTTTTTTTTTTTTTTACTTTTTGTCGGTCGACTTAACAATATATAAACTTCCTCCTTTGCTTTTGCTTCTTCCTCCATTTTTTTTTTTTTATCTTTTCCAGTAATTTTTTATAAACAATTTTTGAATGAAAATTAATTTTTGTTTGTTTATTTATTACGTTACAAATTGTTTTTTATAAATAGGGGGAGGGAGAAAAGTGGGAAGGGATATGTACGTGTGGGTAAGATTGGCAAACCTTATCAGTTATCAGTTTAATTTTTTCTCCTTATTATCATCATCTCCTTTTTGGAGCAAAAAAAAAAATGTAAAGTTGCGTAAAAATGACGTGACGACGACGACGACAAGTTTTCCATCGGGAAAAAAAAAAAAAAATGGGAAAAGAGAAAAGCAAATAAATAAATTTGAACTAGTTTGACCGGAAAAACAAATGAATTATCAGTTAATTGATAATATTATTTATTTTTATTAGGAAATTTTGATTTATTTGAAATAAAAAAAAAACGATTCGTGGAAAATTTTATTCTTTTTCCGAAGGGGTAGGGGAGGGAAGAGGGTGAGAGGTGGGGAGGTGTTGGAAAGAAGGCTGCGTGTGAATGTTTTGTTTGTTTTTTAAAACGGCCTCTTTTTAATTGTTTTATTTCTTATACGATTTGTTATCATTCTTTTTCCTCGTGATTATATCCACAACGATAATGGTACACGTTTAAAAAAAACCCGCCAAAATTTAAATTTTTCTTTCTCTCCCTTTCTTTTTCTCTGTTTTTCTCGCACGATTCATTCAAATTAATTTAAATTTTATTTCGAATTCCCCCTACCACTACCAAAAGTTATTTATAATAATAATAATAATAATAATAATAATAATAATAATAATAATTGTGATCATCTGACCGTAAATTCAAACGTTTTTCGTTTTAAATAAAAAAACTCATTTACCCGCATTTCTACACCGCTCGCGTCGTCATCCTCCTGTTTCTCTCTCTCTCTCTCTCTCTCTTTCCGCACGTTCCTGTTTTTTTTTTCTAAATTTCCTTCATTAACGAAATTTATGTAATAAAAAAAAAAAAAGTTGAAAAGTGAGAAACCAAAAAAAAAGGAAAATTCTAGAAAAGTCGACCCGTAAAATGAAATTAAACGACGCAGAAAATTTTACGAAAATAAATTTTTTGTTTTTTTTTTTTTTTTGAAATTGATCTTTTTGTTTGTGAAACTAAATAATTATTATTATTATTATTATTGTTGTTTTTGCTGTTGTTCTTCTTCTTATTCTTCTTGTTATTATCTTTAATGACTTAAAATTATTATTTTTATTTTTTTATTAATATTTTGTCCGTTCGTTCCAGGTTTCCGTTTTCGGTCCCGCAGGACTCACAATATACTTAATGCTATTTTACTATTATCTTATTATTATTATTATTTATTTGTATGTTTGTTTGTTTGTTTGCTCGTTTGTTTGCTCGTTCGTTCGTTCGTTTGGTTAAAAGCTAAACGAAAAATATAATAATAAAAATGATTTTTTTTTTTGAGGCGGGGAAGGAAACGAAGGGATTTTCCAAAAGTTTTAATACCGAAAAAAATTTCATGTTATTTTTTATTTATATTCTTTCAATAACAAAAAATGGGGGGGTGGAGGAGGAGGAGAGAGAGGGAGGGAGTCTTACAAACCGGAAAAAGAAAAAGAAAAAAAAAAGTTGACCGGAAATATATCGTTTGGAAAATTGAATGGCTTAAATTTTTTTTTTTTTTTTTTTAATCGAAAAATGGCTGGCGAACCTTTGAAGTCACAACAACAACAACAACAACAATAATAATAATAATAATAATAATAATAATAATAATAATAATAATAGTAAAAAAAATAATAATGATAATAATGATGATGATAATAATAATAAAAAGAAATGTTGAAAAATGTTTTCGAATCAATCAAATGATTTAGTAGCTTTTCAATTTATTTTATATTTGATCGTGTAGGGACGAAGAGGTAGTAGGAAAAAGGAAAAGGAAAAGAGAGAGAGGAGAGGGGAAGAGGAAGAGAGGGAAAAAAGGAAAGGAAAGGAAAAAAAAAATTGGGGAAAATTTAATGTTATAAATGATTTTCCTGATCGGAGCTATCAAAACATAATAAAAATAGTTTTTTTTCTCTCTCTCTCTCACTCTCCCGGAAAAGCTTTTATATATTTTTTTTAAAAAAAAAAATCATAAAAAAAAAACTGGAGAGAAAAAAAAATGAGGAAAATTTCCAAGTGAAAAATATAAATAAATAAATAAAAAAAAAATTTTTTTTGATGAGAAAATTTAGATAGAAAAAAAAAAGAAAAAGTTTTGCCCAAACTTTTTTTTTTTGGTTTTTCTTATTAACAATAATTTATTTATTAAAGTTTTTTCCCCCATACCATTCTTTTCTCTCTCTGTCTCTCTCTCTCTTTCTATCTCTTTCCTTTCCATCCTTCTTCCCGGAGAAAATAAAAAGTTTGAATTCACCTCGCGAAAAAAAAAAAAAAAATTTATAAGACAGAAAACTGCGACTTGTTTTCTCTCTTTCTTTCTCTCTCTTTTTTTTCCTCTCCCTCACTGTCTCTCCTTTTTTTCTGTCTTTCCTCTCCTCTGTCTCTCTCATTCTGGCTTTCTTTATTTTTATCTCTTTCCAAAAAAAAAAAAAAAAAAAAAAAAAAAACTGGAACTTATTCGATCCAAAGCCAAAAAGAAAAAAAAAAAATTTTTTCCCACGTTTTTTCGTTCCCTCCCCGGTTTAAAATAAATTTTCATTTGTCTTTTATTATCATTATTATTATTATTTACCGACGTTTATACATTTTTTTTTTTCAAAAGTTACAAACCTGTTTATTTTGCTTTTTTTTTCTTTTTTCATTTGTCATAAATCTCTAAAAATTCATTCATTTATTTATTCATTCATTTTGGAACGAAAACTACGCAAAAAAAATATCTGGAATTTTTCTTTCCCCCCTCCTTTCTCCTTTTCCCTCTCGCTTTTTTCCGCTTTTTATCTTCTGAAACCGTGAAATCGTCTCCTGTAGGATTTTTTTTTCTTTTCATAACAATAAAATGATGATGACAAACAATGAAAAACTTAAAATGGTGGCGATACGTTAAATTTATAAACGATTTTCTCATAACGCGAAAAAGAATTTTCTTTTTTTCCTAGCCACAAAACAAAAACAAAATGGAGGAAATTTATGTACAAATTTATTTATTTATTTATTTTCCGTCTTTCTTTTTTTTCATCCTGCTACAATAATAATGAAAAAAAAAAGATTATTTATTTATTTGTTTCTCTCTCTCTCTCTTTCTCTTTTTTCATTCGTAAAATAATAATAATAATAATAATAACGATGATATTTCGTTTTGTTTTTAATGTTTATATTATTTTTTTTATTTATTTTTCTTTCGTTTTTTTTTTATGGATTCAAAGAGAATTGAAATTCTTTTTTTCTTTTAACATCGTTCGATATTCGATTTCCGCCCGTTTGTTAAATTTATATAATTTAAAAAAAAAAAAAAAATTTCTAGAATTTACGATCGGATTATTCCAAAATAAAAACCAAAAAAAAAAAAAAAGTTACACGAAAATAAAAATTATTAAAGTTTTTTTTTTCGGTTTTATTACTCTTATTATTACCGTAGACGTATTAAAAAAAAGTATTATTATTATTATTATGACGGTTTTGAATATAAAAAAAAAAAACGTTCGAGCGTTCGTTGGAACATAAAAAAAATAAAAATGTTTTGTTTTTGTTTTTAATCTGAATTTTCTTATCATTCGCATTTTTTTTTTGTGTCAACTTTAAATATTTGTTTATTAAAAACAAAAAAAAAATCTGGATAAAAAAGTATTTTATGTGTAAATATTTTATTTTTTTTCGGTAGAATTTAAAAATGGCGGCGTCAGGTGTTAAAAATTCTATTAAAAAAAAAATGGCGTAAACGATTTGCTTGAAAAAAAAAAAATAGTCATTTGGATTTATTAATTGATTGTTTTTTTGTTTGTTTTATTTTGCAGACGAAAAAACACAATCCGAATCACATAAAGAGACCCATGAACGCTTTCATGGTATGGTCACAAATCGAAAGACGTAAAATATGCGAAGTTCAACCGGATATGCACAATGCGGAAATATCTAAACGTTTGGGAAAACGTTGGAAAAATTTAACGGATGACGAAAGGCAACCGTTTATAGATGAAGCAGAAAAACTTCGGATATTGCACATGCAAGAATATCCGGATTATAAATATCGTCCGAGGAAAAAAGTTGTTAAACCGGCATCGAAAACAACTCCATCGACAACGTCAAAGAAACAAAAGAAATTTTCACAGAGTCAGAGTAATTTGAATCACGATTCGAATAACAATAACAGTTTAGCTCACAAAGGCAACAGTTTGAAAGACAAAGCTTTGAGTCAGAGACAAAGGACTCTGGCCATTCACCGTCAGTCTTCTTCGTCGACCTCTAAGACCTCGTCGTCGTCGTCGGGGGGTTGCAGTAGTAGGAACTCTGCCGAAAGATCCTCACATTGCACTTCTCCTACGACACCCGCTACGAATTCACCATCGACTCCTGCCAGGCACGTTCCCTCCATTCTCTCTAGACCGCAGCTCACTCTTCCGGTGACGTCGACTTGTTTGCAACAATTACCGGGTACGGAACCTCCGACCCTCGCGTCGACGCAAAGCCGACTCAAATCGAGGTTAGAAATGGACAAAGCAAAGGAAAACACGGTCTCAAGTACCAGATACGTTTCGCCACCTCCGCAGCAACGGTACTCCTTGCCTATGCCTTCTCCAGCAAGCGCCAAAGTGCCCTCCAGCCCTTCGTGTGAAATACCGGGCTCACCCGAAAGTGCCACGTTTTACGACGACACATCCATTTTGTTGGACGCCAAATTGACATCTTTAAATTCACCAAGCTCAGTTTCCAGTACGGTTTCATTCACTCTCGTTGCCACAAGTCCGCTTAAACCAGGAACGATTCGAATTTTACCATTCAAACCCGAACCCATGGATGTGACGGCGGACGACGTAGGAAGGATAGACATAAAGGAAGAATTAGTCATAAAGGAAGAGCCGATCGAGTTGGTTAACGACTCGATATCTGTAAATAAAGTTGGCGACAATTACGATCTTGCCGACCTCGACTGCCTCACTGATCTCATTCAGATTCCAGCCGATTTAAAGGTCGAATTGGACACACTCACCTCGGATCTGGATCCAACATTTGATTCTGCCAGTTCAAGCTCGGGATCTCATTTTGAATTTTCCTGTGATTCAGACGTATCCGACGTGCTCAAGGGTCTCGGGTTCAACACCACCGAATGGGTCGATTACACCAGTTTTCCATCTTCCGTTAATTGCTGAACTCGAGTCGTCGTCGTCGTCGTTGTCCAAGACGTTGTTTTCATTTCCTCTTTGGTGAATAATCACATATGTGGTGTAATGTGTACCGGTGCTCGTTTATATGACCTGTGGGACCACATTTTCAAATTGACACAACACGAGTTATTTAAGGGGGAGGGGGGAAAGAAACATTTTGTAAAAAAAAAGAAGCATTTTGGCCAGCACCAAAATTTTTTTTTTTTTTTAAACAGTGTTATTTACGGTCCTGTTTGTTGAGTGATGATTCGATTGTATAAAAAAAAAAATTACCTGTTGTTTTTTTTAGTAAGTTTACATTATTTAGTGCACCGAATTTTATTTTTTACCCTCAGGTTCCTCTCCTCTCCTCTCCTTTCCTTTTTCTTTCTTACTTTTTGTTTATTTTTTTTTTTTTTTGATCACACACACACACACACACTCATTGGACGTTGTTGTTGTTGTATACACTCAAAATAGCAGACAACAAACAAAAAAAAATTTATGATCTCTATAAAAAAAAAAATATTTTACCGCTTGTTTTTTTTTTTTTTGACCTTGTATAATTATTTTTTAAATCAGTTGTTCATTAGTATTTGTCTATTTTAATTAATAATAATAATAATAATAAAACTTATTTGAAACAGTTAAGATTAAAAAAAAAAAAAAAACAATGCATAATACGACGTTCGCAATTGCAACCGTTTGAAATGTAAACGAACGAATTTGTAAAAATCGTACGATTAATAATAATAATAATAATAATAATAATAGTACGTTTATTGGCACAAATTTTTTTTTTTTCATTTGTTTGTTATTGTTGTTGTTGTTATTAAGTAGGGAAAGAAAAAAAAAATAATTAAACAAACGTACAAAAAAAATAAAAACAAACACACACACACACACACTTATATATATATATATTTCGAGTTTTTTTTTTTTTGACCATCCGCCATTTATGTTATTATTGTTGTTGTTTGTTGTTTGTTGTTTTTGCCAGAAAGAGAGAAGAGAGAGAGGAAAAAAGTTGAAATTGGGAAAATTAAAACACGAAAAATAATAAATTTTATGTTTTTTTTTTTTTTTTTTTTCCAGCTGTCAATATTAAACAAAATTAGTTTTCTCTCTTTCTCTCTCTCTCGTAACTTGATAATTGTTGTTGTTCGTTTCGAATTTTTTTTGTTTTTGTTGTTTTTGTTGCCTTTTTATGTTTGTCTTCTATTTTTTCAAATTGACAAACACATACACACACAAGGAAAAAAAAATTAATTTTAGTTTTCAACAAAAACAAACGACTAATTTTCTTTTTTTATAACTTTTGATTAAAATTTTTCTCGTATTTATTAATAATAATAATAATGGAAATTCAGGGGGTGGGAGGAGGGGTTGGGAAGGGAGTCACGAAACGAACAAATACAATGAAACGAAAAAAAATTTTTTTTTTTTATTAAATAATTAAATAATAATATTAATAATAACAACAACGTAACCGTGTGTTTAATTACTACGTTTGATAAATGATTTATATATTTTTGCATTCTATTATCATTATTATTATTCGTTTTTATTTATGTATTACGATAATAATAATAATAATGTTTCTTCGTAAATTTTAATTAAACAATTTATTCGTGTTGATTGGGAAGTGGGGAGAAAAGAGAATGACGATGGAAAATTTCGAAGGTTTTTTTGTTTATGCGCGTTCGGGAAAAATAACTGAAAGGATGGAATGATTGATTGATTGATTGATTGCGTGAGAATATTAATAATAATAATAATAATAATCGAACGCTTTAACGCGTGTTTATAAATAGTCTAGTCTGAATTCATTTCACTTGTTCACTTTAATTTTTTTTTTGTTTAAATAATTTCTTTATTAAAAAAAATTATCAACGAATAAATTATTATTATTATTATTATTATTATTATTATTATTATCAAATCTCGTGGTTGACGAAAAACGAACTTGAGGAAAGGAAAATGGAAAATTATTATTATTATTAATTATAAAATAGTAAACAAAAACAACAACAATAACAACAATAATTGGAATAAGCTCAGTGGTCAAAAAAAAGAAATATAAGAAAAACCTTTTGCTTCGTAAGCTAAACATAATTTAAATATATATATATATATATAATGAAAAGTTGTAATGATGAGAAAATTTTTGTGATAGAATGAGAAGAGAGAAAGAGAGATAGAGAGAATGAAATAAACAGCGCGTGTGCGTGTGTGAATATATATATATGACATGAACATATATTATTATACATAAATATAAATATACATAAGTAAATAAATAAATAAACCTCATGTGTATAGATAAAATAATTACCCCTTTTTTTTTTAATTAATTTTATTATTATTATTATTATTATTAATTTTATTTTATTACTTTTATTATGTAATTTTTTTTTTGTTTATATTATTATTAAAAAAAAAATAGAAATAGTTTTTTTTTATATATATATATATAAATATATATATATCGATAATTATTATTATTATTATTCGACAAATATATTATATCTGTTACGATTTTATTTTTGTTTTTATTTTTTATTTTATTTTCTTTTATTTTTCTTTATTTCTTTTCTTTATTTTATTTTATTATCATTATTATTTTATTTTGGATACGGCGGTACTTAAATGAAATGGCGGTGATGATAATAATGATGATGATGGGGTTGATGTTAAAAGAAAAAGAAAATTTTTTTGCCTTAATTGCTATTTCTGCTACTACTACCACTTTTGAAGTTTTTTATTTATTTATTTTTAATAAATTTGTAAAAATAATTTTTTTTTTCATTTTTCGGAGGGGAAGAAAGCGGAAATGACCAAAAAGGGAAAAATATGGCGACCGAATGAAATAAATAAATAAAAAAGGGAAAACCTGGAAGAAAATTGCTTCGTTTTTCTTTTTCTTTTTTTTTTTTTTTTTATTCTTACCATACGTTCGAATAAAATAATAATAATAATAATAATAATAATTTGCTCGGCGTTTTTTAAAATACACAAATTAGTAATATGTATGTGTATGATACGAAAAGAATTTTCTAGAAAAAAAAAAACAAACAAAAAATTGTTCTGACTTGAATTCGTACCTGGTTAATAAATTTTTTTATTTAAAAAAAAAAGTGAATGACAATATTATTAATAATAAAAGTGTGAGGAATAGGAGGGAGGGGGAAGGGAGAAGAAACAATTAATTTTGATTTAAACTTTGTACCTGATACGTAAACCCCTCGTACCTCACGATACGCCCACGTAAGCACGCACACGCACACTTTTCCCCATTTCCCGCGATTTTCAATGTGAAAATTCGAAAAGTAAAGGAAAATAATTTTTTAATCGATCCGTTAATTGTTTTTTACCACCCCAAAAATTTTTAACCCTTCGTTTCGGTTTTCAATTTAATAAAAAAAAAATAATACACGCGCACTCGCCCACTCACGCAAGTGGTATGTATATGTAGGGGGTATACGATGAGGATGAGGAAAAATCTCATCCGTTCGAGTTTTGCTTTGGGGATTCAAGGCTGGGGGGAGAGGATGATCGTTCATCCGGTTGAATAAGGGGTGGAATTTTTATTTCTTTTTTTATTGAGTTTTCAGGGTCGTAGTCGGGTTTTTTTTTTGAATGATGGGCGGCGGTTAATAATTCTTCCAATTTATTCCGATTGTTACGATTGTTCAACAATGACTTGAAACGTTTTATACGATGCTAACTAACTTGTTTTGTTTTTACCCTTCTTCCCCTCCCTTTTTCACCCCTCTCCTCGCCTTTCCTCCCCCTTCGTCATCTTTTCCCATCCACAAATCCACGTCGTCGTCGACGACGACGACGACGTCGTGTTTGATTAAAGAAATTATATAAAAGTTAGTCATAACTTTTATGTAAATGAAAATTTTAATATAAAAATTTATGAATACAAAAAATTGTTGTTGTTGTTGTTGTCGTTATCGTCATCGTCGTCGTCGTCTGCTTTAGTACAAAAACAATTTTTTTTTTTTGGCGGGAGGAGGCGTGGTAGCAAGGACTTCGTCCGTTTTTCGTATTGCGGAAAAAAATTTAATTATTTATTTATTAAATTTAAAGTTAATAAAAAGAAAAAAAATTTATGTACATAAAAAATGGCCAAAATTTATTTATTATTAATTATTTACCTTCATTTCGTAATTAAAAAAATTATTAAATTGCTCATCGATGTAAAAAAAATTTTCGTGCCACGCTCCTCTATTTTATACTCTAACGTAAATAACCTACGATGATGATGATGATGATGATGATGATAATGATAATAATACTTTAAAACTAAAACTTTTTTATTCTCTTCGATTTTTTCGTCGCGCCACAACTTTAAAAAAAAAAAAAAAAAAAAAAACGAACGAAATTTTAAAAAAATTTTTCTTATTGTTCTTCATCTTCATTTTCTTCTTCTTCGACGACAATTCATTAACAAATAATAATAATAATAAATTTTCAAAAAAAAAAAAGGAAAAAACAAACAATTAACGACAGGGTTTTTATTTTAAAAATTTATTACTATTATTTTTTCTTTTTTTTTTACATACATTATGTACATATATATATAAATTTAAAATTGATTTATTAATTATTAATAATGATAATAATATTTATTAATGACTGATAGGAAAAAAAAAAACAAAAAAATGAGCACGTTATAGTCACTTTTTTACACGCCGACATTTTTATTCTTTTTTTTTTCATATAAACATTCAAACTCATTTAACATTATTTCTCTCTCTCTCTCTCTCTCTCTCTCTCCTCCATTTTTTTTTCTACTCCCACGTCATAATTAAAAATTAATTTTTTTTTTTTTTTATTTCCACGTTTTTATGTGCTAACTTAAGAAGAAAAAAAAATTATGCGTAATAAAAATAATAAATAAATTTTTTTTTTTTTTCAAACGTTTCAGGTTTTTCTCTAAAAATAATTTACAATAACCTTAACGTACATAATAAAATTTATTAATAATAATAATAATTATAATAATAATACCAATAAAAAAAAAACGAAATAAATACATAATAAAAAACGCAATCGTCGTTGTAAAAAAAAATTATTATTAATATTAATAATATTTATATACATAACATAATTTAATTAATTAGTTACGTAAATTTTATTAGATCGGCTTTTTTAAATATATATATATATATATATATATATATATATATATATTTAATAATAATAATAATAAATTTTGCTCTCCCATAAGTGTGCTTTTAACAAATAATAATAATAATAAAAATGTTATTATTATTATTATAATTTGGCTTAAAAAATAAATAAAAAAAATTAAAAAAAAAAAAAAATTTTTTAAATACCTTTTAATAAGTTTTTTTTTTCAATGTTGTTGTTATCATTATTATCATTATTAATTATTTATTATTATTATTAATATTAATAAATTTAAAGAATTAAAAATTAAAAAAATAAATAGAGTAATAAAATAAATAATAAAAATTTTGTGTTTTCATTTTTTTTTTTTATTATTGTGTAAATATAACGAAGTTTGCAAAAATTATAAATAACAACAACAAAGCCGCTAAATATTATTATTATTATTATCACTCGCGAGACAAAAGATTCTTTAATAATAATAATAATAATAATAATAATAATAATAGTCAATAGTTTGCCTATTCGAAAAAAAAATTTTTTATTACTCTAAAAAAAAAAAAAAATGATTTGATTTTTTAACTATCCATTGTTAACAGGAAGCGAGGGCACGTTGTGAACACAAAAAAAAAGTAAAACAATTAAAGTAATAAAATGTCATTAAATTATTTTTTGTTTTTCAAAGCGATATAAAATCATCATCATTATTATTATTATTATTTTATTACGTAATATTTTTCTAATAATAATAATAATAATAATAATAATAATATATTCCAATAACGATTAATTTTTTTTACTTTTAAACTAATATAATTTTTTTTTTTCGGACTCGTGACAAATTAGAAATTCTGATATAGTGATGATAATGATGATGATAATGATTATTATGATAATAATAATGATAATAATAATAATGATAATAATGATAATAACGAAAACAATTTTGTACAAAAATTAAAAATATTATTTTTTTAAAATGAAAAAAAAAAAAAAACAACAACGCGAACGAATATTTTTTATTATTATCTTGTTCAATTATTTAATCGATCGATCGATAGATAGATCGATAATTGTAAAACGTTGAATTAATAAATAATTATTAATAATTTAAAAAAAAAAAAAAAAGCTTTTCTTTTTTTTTTGCTGTTGTGTAAATAATAATAATAATAATGATAATAATATTTAATTGATGTGTGAATAGATTTTTTCCATTTTGAAAAATGTTTCTCTCTTCTTCCTCCTCTCCCCCTTTTTCTCTTTCTTTTTGTACATTTGATTATATATAAGTAAAAAATTACAATTGTATTTATTATTATATTTTAATCGAATAATAATAATAATAATAATAATAATAATAATAATAATATTAATTAGGTGAAAAAAAAAATTTTTTGTCTCATCCCATTCCGTTGCAATATTATTATTATTATTATTTTTTTTTTACACACTCCCGTTCGAATCGGCCAAATCATAACGTTTAGTACGTTTCTTCCTTTTTACCCCCCCCCCATTTCCTACCCTCCCGCTGTCTCCTCCCTATTAAAAAAATCATTTAAAAAAATTTTTGGTCTGAATGTTTATTAACCCTCAAACTACCTTTTTGTTATTATTATTATTATTACGACTGATGATCAACAATTGTAACGCTTTTATAATAATAATAATACTTATTATTATTATTATTATTAATACAAAATTAGAAGCTTAATAAATTATTTAAAAAATATATATTAATATATATACATAAAATTATTTCAATAATAATATTATAAATTTTTTTATGTTATTAAAATGAGGATGGTAGACTGAGGGTTATTAAATATTTTAAAATGTTAATAATTATTAACTCTATGATGATGAATGCATTTTTAACTATTATTATTATTATTATTATTATTATTATTAATAAATAATAATTTTTATTAACAAATAAATAAAAAATTGTTGTAATAATAAAAAAATGAAAAAAGTTGTAAACAAATTTACAAAATCTCGTCACTACCATCGTTTTTCATTAGTTATTATTATTATTATTATAAATAAACAAAAAATTATTAATTAATAAAAACAAAAAATATTAAAACAAATAATAATTATGATTATATTGTTTTGAAAAAAAAAAAATTTTCTTTTTTCTTTTCTCACGTATATCTAAGCATAGAAAAAAAAAAACTTTTTCTTCCTTTCTTTTTTTTATTTCTCTCTCTCTCTCTCTCTCTCTCTTTCGAGCGGTGTAACAAACGGGTAGTATATAACAAACGACAAACGAATTAAAAAAAAAAAAAAATGAAAAAATGAAACCGACCGTAACCGAAAGAGTTTAAAAAAAAAAAAAATCTATAAAAAGTTAATAAACCTAAAACCTACTCGTCGGTTGTAATAATTATATTTAAATAATTTTATATATATAGTGAATAATAACACGTAATAATTATAATTCGGTCGTATTAATGTAACTGTAATGACGATAATGATGATGATGATGATGATGATGATGATAATGATGATAACATATACGTGACTTTTAATTTTAAACGTATTAATTACGTAATTTTTATTTATTTATTTATTAAAAAAACCGCTTCGAAACATTTTTCTTTTTTTTTTTTTTAAATTTAATTCTCAATTTTTTGGAGGGAAAATTTAAATTATTACCTTATCGATAAACAACGTCGACACACACACGTGCGTATAGAAGATTCGAACTGTGTAAAAAACGTGGCAACAGAAATTCTATCGGATTTTTTTTTTCCCAAAATCCCATACATAAAAATTTAATTTTTTTTAACTCTCTCCCTCTCTTTCTTTCTCCGTCTCTCTCTTTTAGTTTTCCTTCAAGCATTAAAATAATTAAGTAATAATATAATTTAGTAATTGATTGCATTATATTGATTAAACTAACCACGTGGAAACAAACAAAACAAACAAACAAAACAAACAAAACAGAAAAAAACAGAAAAAAATTTTTTTTTTTTCCCTCATTTTTCTTTTTTTTTTTTTATTTTATATTATTTAACTCGGTAAATTTTTTTTTCTTTTTTCAATAATAATCAGTACCGTATTAAGGTAAAATAATAATTTCGTTATTTTTTTTTTACATAAAGAAGCCGACATCGGTTTTTAATAGCGCATAACCATTTCAATCTACTCCCACTTTTTTTTTTCAATCGATCGTTCTTATGTTGTTTTGAAAAAAACGATTTTATTATTGGCTTCCGTATGAAAAAAAAAAAAACGTCGATACGAACGCAACAAGTAATAATGAAAAATCTTCAAACGTTCTTTCTTATTATTACTATTATTATTATCATCATTATTATTATTATTATTTAAATTAAAAAAATTTCACGGTAGTAGCAGCAAATAAAAAAAAAAGATGAAAAGATGAAGAAAAAGATGAAAAAAAAGCAATTTTATTAATATTATTATTATTCTACAACTTGTTTTTCATTAACCGATCGTTATTATTATTATTATTATCGGTGAAAACCTTTACCTAAAACAATAATAAAATACGTTTGTAACGAACATGTACGAACATGTCCGAAGTAATTTAAAAACCAAGTCTTTTTTTTTATTAATTTTATTTTTAAAAAATGTAAAATCCCCGAAATTTTATTAATATTATTACGTTAACGTAATTATTATTATTATTATTATTATTATCATCATCATCATTATTATTTTTTAACGTTCGGAGAGATTAAAATACGTTCTCGAACGTTACCGTGCATTAATA